CGAACGAGGATGGGGAGCAGATTGTCGTTGTCGTTCTTGGAGTCTGCAGGGCTGATTCTGCTGCTGGGTGTGTGCATTCTCGCTCCCTCCGCTCATGCCAAAGTCCATTACCATGACTTCATCGTAAGTTCTTGGATTGAAGATGCACGTTGTTGGTCTTTTCGAATGGCCTGAAGCTTTTCTTGAGCAGAACACACGGGCGCCTGGTTTTTTGCTGCTGCATGGTGACAATGTCTCCACTTCCTGAACACACACAGTTTTTGTCTGCAACATTGCATACTCGAGATTGAAGTGGCACGGAAAATTATGATTAACCTATTGTTTGTTTGTTTTTTGGGTTTGGTCGTAGCTGAAAGAGACCAACTTCACAAGGCTGTGCAGCTCCAAGAGCATGCTGACAGTGAACGACAGCTTGCCCGGGCCGGTGATTCGCGTTCACAAAGGCGACACCGTCTACGTCAACGTCCACAATCACGGCGACTACGGAGTCACCATTCACTGGTACCTCACCTGTCTCTCTCTCGCTCTCTGTCTCTGTCTCTCTCTCTCTCTCTCTCTCTCTCTCTCTCTCTCTAACACCCTTTCAAATGAAAGTGAAGCTATATAGTGCGTTTTTTCATACCCGAACATGTCTGCCTCCATTCGTTCCGGCGAGGTCCGTCGTGCGAATACGAGACCCGCCAAATATAATGACAAGGGTACGGATGGATCAAACGCATATTCATCCGATAATGATTGTTTTTCTCCGAGTAATAAGTGCCGAGGAACGGAAAAGCACGAGCGTGTTATCACGGCGCAACAAGCGAGAGGGTCCTGGTAACAAGCGTCTCCGAGACACTAGCGCAACCCTAACTAAAAATCAAATAAGAATTGGAACACGTGCAGTGGTGGGAATAGTCAATTTAAAAACGGGGCTAAAAGGTGTGGCTCCGTCGTTACCTCAGCGGTCAATTTTCTTCCTCCTCTGTCTTTCTCCTCTTGTTGAAAGTTAGTTGCAATCTAGTCCCAAGAATCTGTCCGTCCAATTAAGGATGTCTAGATAAAGCTGCACTTTCAGAACCAGCAACGTAGATTCTTGCAAAATTTGCATTGAAAAGGTAAAAATGTCACCACAGCGATTTTAAAGTTAGACTAATGCAGCAATTCCGGTGCACCTCCAGTTAAGAACTGTTTTTAGTTATCACCCCTCTTGTGTTAGATCCACCAAGTTTTGATCTGTTTCTGTGGAAAAAGCTGCTTGTATTTTCGACGACCATGAGATTATGTTTTGATTTCGGATTAAGCTCTCCGGCAATGAGATTATGTGGTTTAATCAGATCATCATGAGTCCATTTGACGAATGCCCTTAGAACATCTGTTAAGCATGTTAAATGAGGAATAATTCTCTTTTCAAAGTGTTAGGATGCACGTGTGAGTTGTGTTAGAGAAATCTCACATCGGATAATTGGTGTGGTGTAGAGCAGTTAATATATCCTAGTTGTCTCATAACTCATTGGTTTAAGCTTTTGAGTAAATATGGGTCAAATTGGATATGTTAACCGGCTTGGACTTAGGCTCCCTCTTGGTGATATCTCCGGGCAAAAAGTATCGGGCTTCTATTACACGCTCCTTAACACAAAGTGATAATTACGCATAACATACAGTTAAGTTTTCTTAATTAATCATTTAACTTGCAGGCACGGCGTAAAGCAGCCGAGAAATCCATGGTCAGATGGTCCAGTATACGTAACACAGTGCCCGATTGCACCCGGATCGAACTTTACTTATGAGGTCATATTTTCGAAAGAAGTGGGCACGCTTTGGTGGCACGCTCACAGCGATTGGACCCGAGCTGGAGTTCATGGGGCCATTGTCATATACCCTGAGGAGGGCACAACTTACCCTTTTGAGAAACCAGATGGTGAAGAAGTGGTAGTGCTGGGTAAGTAGACGTCAATGACCTCCTCATTCGGTCTTTTCTGATCTAAAAGATTTGTTTCTCTCGTCTGTTTTCATCTGTTGCTGTTTCATGAATCATTAGTTTCAATTTGAAGTTTCAGGGACGGATTCAAAAGAATTAAGTGAGTCTCTCTTATGGTTTCTGTCATCAATATGGTCGGGGTCTAGGACAAGACAACATAATCTGTCATGGACAAGAAACAGAAGAAAAGCATTGTGAAACAACCATGAAATTTCAGGAGTTGCTTGTATCTCTCTTGTCGCTTTTATTTTGTTCCCGTTTCATGCATCCCTGTTCGGCCTGAACTTGCACCACAAGGAAGCTGGGACATGTATAATATGTTTTCTTCTGTCAAACATGCCATGCTGTGAAATTTCGGGATTACATACTTCTCTTCTGTCACTCCTTTTCGTTTTCTCTTGCTCCACAGTGATTGCATATTCATTTTGTCGGTCTCTCCGTATGATTGCCTAAATTCTTTGTTACTTGCCTATACGTAGGGTCTTGGTACAAAGGAGATGTGAACACGGAAGTTGAGGAGGACCTACAAGAAGGTGCAGACACTCCTCGCTCGGATGCATATGTTGTCAACGGCCAACCAGGAGACTTTTGTGATTGTTCTAAAGGTAATCAGCGCAGCCAAGAAAACATACTAACCATACCTATTATCTACGTGAGACTATTGTGGAACAGAAAACAATTGCGCAATTCGTTTGCAGAACTAACTGACGGTCGCAAAGTCAAGAGTGCTTTCACTTGCTTTGATGTGCCTTTGACCAATTCGGGGAATGTAGAATCATCGGAATTCGCCCTCACTAGAGAAATGAACCGACTTATATTGTGTTTCAATTATGCAAAAGCATATGACCAACTGTTGCATGGGCGTTTCCTAACAAAAATGTTCTCTATGTCTTGCCATTTACGAAGCTTTTGATTGCAGATTTCACCTATCGCTGGTCAGTCGATTATGGGAAAAGGTACATTCTTCGTCTGGTCAATGCGGTGATGAATGCAGAAATGTTCTTTGCCATCGGAAAACATAATTTCACTGTCGTCGGGATGGATGGGGCCTACATAAAACCAGTTGTCTCGAGTTTTGTGATGATTGCCCCAGGGCAAACCATGGATATACTGGTCACAGCAGACCAATCTCTCGGTCAATACTACATGGCAACTAGACAGTATGATAGTGTCAAGCCAGATGTCACGGATTATGACAAAGTGAATGCCACCGCGATTCTTCAGTATACCGGCAACTACACCGATACATCGGGTCCTTTCTTTCCCGACACACTACCGATCTATTATGACTATAAATCTGCAATAAACTTCATGAGTCAAATCAGGAGCTTAGCAAACGAAGAATACCCTATTGAGGTCCCCAGAAATATAACTACCTTCATGTATATCACGGCTTCCATGGGCGAAGTTGAGTTTGTCAATGGTTCGGACACGAGAATTGGCCTTGCATCAAGCTTAAACAATGTTAGTTGGGTAAACCCATCGACCGATGTACTCATGGCTTACTACAGGTATTCGTCAAGCATTCATTTGTTCATTTTGTTGATGAGCTTGTTCAATCTTTAGCTACAGTTTTAGGACAGGAATGCTAAACCTCTCCTCATGAAAGGAAATTAATTGATGCAATACAGAAATATTCATTTACAGTAACGATTTATTGTGATCATCGTTGGACTCGACTCACAGATGAATGTCCATGACAGGAACTTGAGCGGTTATTTCACAACGGATTTTCCAGAATGGCCACAAAAGTTTTTCAACTTTACAGCAGACGATGTGCCGGATGATTACGAGTTGGCAGTACAAGGGAGCAGAGTCAAGGTGCTAAACTACAATGAAGAAGTGGAGATTGTTTTCCAAGGAACCAATGTTATGGATGCATCGGAGGATCACCCGATGCATTTGCACGGGTATGGCTTCTTTGTCGTCGGAGCTGGTTATGGGAACTTCGACAATGAGACGGACCCCAAGACTTACAATCTGGTCGATCCTCCCGAAGTGAATACCGTTTCACTGCCTAAAAAAGGATGGGTCGCCCTCAGATTCAAAGCCAGTAATCCTGGTACTTGCCTTTGCCCTTCGGTCATGCAGTTATTATTACCTATTCATTTCGGAGTAACTCATTTTAACACCAACTTCTGTCTTATTTTGCCGAACACATCTCGGTTGAAATGAATCCGTGTTTTTTGGCATATTGGATCTAATATCTGCTTTCCGATACCAGGAGTATGGTTATGGCACTGTCATCTGGATCGACACTACAGTTGGGGAATGACCACCGTGTTCATTGTGAAGAACGGCGGGACGCCTGAGACTAGCATCAGGGAACCCCCTCCCTACATGCCCCCTTGTAAAGATTCTGCACTTCGATTGCGAAAATCGGACGCCGCTTCATCTGTTGAATTGGATAAATCAAATGTATGATTCGACCTGCATATGGTCTTCCACGGTAGATTGTATTAAAGTGCCGCCGCATTAGTCATATAGAACTACTGTGAACTCGAATTCATTTGAATGATAGAATATATAGATCAGTAGTCCAAACTCTCTGACTACTCAAAATAGAGTTTTGACCTGGAATTTTCAGCTTTATATTGCCCACCTAAAAAGGCCTTCTCTTAGTCTGATGAGTGCGAGATGTACTACAGTGAGACCATATGTACAATAATGGCAATGCAGTCCAAACCATCCGTTCCTTCAAATCCTTTGTTTTCTAATTCTCTTCGACGTGTCACTTCATTCATTTGTTTCATGAAAAGCCATTCTTGGTCCATCCCAGGTTCACAACTTGGCTCGTGATTATTTCCAAAGAAACCAGGCTCAGAAAGTGTGGTAAGAACCGATCTGTTTTGGAGCGACTCCGGAGCTGGTTTTTTAGCAGGTTGATTGATCACTCAGGCTTAAGAATAAGCAGAACAATGTTAGTCCCATTCGTACAAAAAGGTACCGGGTGTTCTCATGGAGTTCATCCCGGGACGATCCTTGACAGATTGCGCAGTTTAAACATTTTTGGCGAAAAAAGATAATTACTCAAGCAGGATTTAAGCAATGACAAACACTCGTTATTTGTTGGCAACCACATTCAATCCATTAGTAGTAGACGTTTCCGTTCAAAGATGCTTTTGTAAAAGAATATTTACACCATTGGTGTTTTTAAAATGAATCATCACTACGCGAATGCTGTAGAATGATACAGCATAAAAACTTTTCAGTAAGAAATGGAAGCTTTTGGCTCTGCCCGTGGCCAACTGTCTTCAACATGAATTCCACAAGTACTTCACTCGTCACTCATTCTTGCACCTTTTCATGCTGAAGTTCTCTCATACCTGTTTTCTGCCCTAGCGTTACCAATGGAATCACCTTAAACCTTAGGATAAAATAGCAAAAAAGCACTTTTGAATATATGGACAATAACATGCGATTTAGTTAGCCAAAACCTCAACTAAATGAGCTCTATTACCCAAAGGAGACAGAAAGCATGAAAAGTCAGTAGTAATGATATTTAGGATGAGAGCATGTACATACTACATTGCCCAAAAACGGTAGGACAAAGCAATTATCGACAGTATAGTAGTAATCACAGTTTTCAGCTTTCTGCTGTCATGTTCAGAAATTATTGTGGGAATAAACAAGAATCATGTTTGCGTCTATCTGTGCATTATGCTCATCATGTCTTATCAAAGAGTATGGTGTAGCAGTGGATGGGAAGCTACAAAAAAGCTGAAGTGACCAGAGAATTCATCATGGGTGCCTTCATGATTTGTGTGAAACTTAATACAAGAAGTAAACCAAGCATGGTCTGTTATGAGTGGCAAAGTTCGCATACCGAAAGGCTATCCCGATTGATCGCCCCATACAATATGACCAAAGCCAGAGGTAAATGCATCCCCATGTAGCTCAAGTTACTCTTATATTTTTGTTTTTGACCAAAGTACCTTTCTCACAACTCCTAAAGTAATTTCCTTCTTGAAAGTGAAAATGAAGCTGTGTTCTCCCATAATACCAAAGAAAAATTTCACGGAAGCTTCTTCCCAAACATTTGGAGATATCAGTTACGTAGAAATCAATTGCGACTCATTCTGGAGAATCATATCCTTGGACAGAAGAAATGCAATTCTCTACTAGTACTGACAGAACAGAAATACAATGTCCAGAGACAATTTGACATACCTATTACCGTTGTTAAACAGGATGAGGTACAGCGGATCCTGGGAGGAAAGCTGGAAGAGTCCTCGTACTATGTAGGCACATGTACTAATACTGCACAAGAAACACAAAACAAAGTCACTGACTCACTGAAAAAAGGTTTATTTGACATCTTACGAATTGAATACGCAATAGGGAGCTCGGGCATTTCAGCCTATTTCCAAATAGGCCATAATAAACAATGAACACTCATTTGGCACAGTTTGCAAGAAAACAAGGGACTATGATCATGACGAGTGCCATTCCAAGGTTTTTGACATATCTCCCGGGATATTACTAACAAGGTCCAAGCAGGAAGCCCATGAAAGCAGCAAGAGGCAGAATGGCCAGTTTAAGTTTCTAAAATTCCCCTTCCAATTCAATTGTCATGCGGAAACATATGGACAATTGCAGACACAGCTTGCCTAGGACTAAGCATTGGGCCAAGAAGAATATCATCCACCAACTAAACAAAGCCTATGAGAGGTCGTATTATCAAGCAGAGGATATTGATTGTCCTATGTGATACAAGGAAGGATAAAGTAAGACTGTTGAAGCTTAGGTACTATACAAAATCAGGGGCCTACAACATAGATCTGGAAAATGTAGGTAGATGGTCTTTGTTATTGATATCAGCATATAAACGAGAAATAAAGACAATCAAATACCACCGCATAATATGATCAATAATCATCAAACAACTTTAAAGTTCTATGTAATGCTTGCAACCCGGTAGATTTGAATTCTGGACAGAGCTCATGGCAGTAATGGAAACATGGTGAATATGGATACATTACCTGCCAAAGCATATCAAGAGAAGGATCCACACAAATGCACTAAGCCAACTTGATTCCTTATAAGCAACCCAAACCTGTAAGACCACAAGATTGAAATAGTCATCATTTATGCAGGGTAAAACAAGAAAATTGTCTCATCAACAATCCTAGTCATCAAACAAGAACTCCTAATTGTGGGTGTTTAAAATCAAAGGTTGCTCTCAAATCTAATAGGCATCATTGCAGGTAACGGTTTCATAAGCTTATGAAGCCTAAACTCTAAAGTTAATTCTCCACTAGTTGAGATATTATGTAGCCTCTGCTTGTTGTTAATCAAAGCATATGAGATCGCTTTATATTCCTTCTATCTGATTCTACCAGACAAAATTCCTATTTATGCATGTCCTCTGTTCCATCGAATGACTCAAATAATTTCATGCACTATACAGTTAGCCAACATAAGCATTTGAGACATACAGAAAGAGCAACAACGTTGATGTAGAAGTCAATCAGCATCGCTGTCATCCACCTGCATATTGTTAGCACCATTCAGTACATTCACAGGACTGAGACCATTATGCTGATATGTTCATACATTGACTCATATGCAGATGAAAAAAGTAGGTCCCCCTCCTATAGAAAAGAGTAGTACTGTCCTGGCATGGGGAACTGCTTAAATCTCATGATTGAAGAATAAAACATCAGAAAGAAAAGCATAGAAACCTTCATACTTAAAGCATCAAATTAAGGAAGAATTTAGTTCTAGTTAAGTGAAAGATGCTCCTAGTGAGAGTTATACTATAGGGCAGACGCAGGGTAACAGCACACCACAAGACAAAGAGACACAGGGAAGGTATACTTCCTACTCACAGCTCACATATCTTGTGCTAAAACCAAACATTTCTTTCCCATTGATACCGCTACTCTTAAGATTCAAACCAGCATGCAGGACACATTGCTTCTCTATAGTACAGATTGAGATGATTTACACACTGAGGATACAAGGGGAAAAGATGCGAGCTCCTATCAGCCGAATAAGTAGGAAAACCAATGCAACAAAAGGTACTCAAACCCACAAATACGGAGTTCCTAACCAGTTGTCATGACACTTAAAAAGAAAAATATGCATGGGCATTTATTATATTCATAGGTTTACCCCCTTATAGCACACCATGACAAAATAAAAATCAACCTATCTTCATACCTTCTCCCCATAAGTCCAAATGTTATGGAACCAAATGACAAAGGCCCATTGAAGACAAAGCAAGTTACTTACGGTACTAAAAGTTCTTTCCGGAAAGGACTACCATCAGTGAAGATAGTGTAGACAAGAGTCACCAGCATCAAACAACCCAAAACAATGAAAGTGATTCTAGCAGTTATAACAGGAAAATGCTGTTTATTCTGTTCCACGCCATCCCTGAAGAAGAAAATTTCTCAGGTCAAAAGGTACTCCAGTACATCAAAAATCATAATTTAAAATGACAGAATTAGCACATGAAGACTTTCCATTCGCTATTCTACACAAGAAAGAGACTGCAGCTTAAAATTGAAAGCATAATATAGGAACGGGTGGGCACGTTAGTAACCCATTATTAAACTGAAAATGCAGAGCAACCTAAACAAACATCTGAGAGATTCTAAGATTTATAGCTCCAGGGAAAGGAGCAGAAAATTGTTCATTACCCAGAATCAGGCGAAACCATGAAATGATAACGTCTCTGTAAAGTACTATATAGGTGCAACTCCAAAATCCAGTAGAAACAAAAAATGATATACTCATACATAATATGGCATGTAAACATACTTGCTAGAATACCGCAACAGAACATGGTAGATGGGATCTTGTGAAGATTCTTGAGGTGAGAGCTTGAGAAATTGCAAAAGAATGTAGAAGCACATTGTGACACTGGGATAAGAATCGCATCATAATACACATAAATGTCAGCTGAAAAATCAAATGAAAGCATTTTGCACTTGTAAAACACTTAAGCGGCTTTCGTGTTGCTTGCAACTACAAAATAAGAAGAAGAAATCCTGTTGAGAGAGTAATAAGAGCATACCTGCCCAGGCAGATAAGAAGCACTGTCCAAAGTAAAGCACTAAAAAAGTTTGATTCCTTGTACCAAACCCAAGCCTGAAAACATATTCAGTGTAAGCATGCACCGCAAACTTTTCGTGGAATTCCATTCCAAAAAAAGCTTCAACAACAAAAGAAATATACCATTTCTTTAATTGATTTGCAAACAGATTGAACTTGTGGAATTGCCAGTTCTTATTAAGGCTTTATTTAAGTGTCAGTTTTCAGCTTCACATGATTTAGAATCAATTATCCAAAATATATATAAACTCAGTGTCTGTTTGCTCCCATGAAATACTGCTGCTTGTCAGTTTAAACTGGAAAGAGCTAAAAAAACATCGGGTAACATATTCTGGTTTTCTTATTCCTGAAAGACGAGAAATTGATAATTGTGAAAGGTGACTGCATTACCTGAACATTATAGCACTTAGGTAGTTGTAATTATGTAATTAACCACTTGCAGTATTCTTATATGATGTTATAATTAAGATGGTTTTCAAACTAATCAATTGACGATGTTGCGTAAAGAGATGTAAGCTGTAATAGCCAAGGAGCATACTGCGAGCGGAACAACGTTGATATAGTAGTCAACCAAGGTTGCTGCCATCCACCTGCAACAGAGGCAGGAACAGTTTATCTTCAATCCACTTTTTGTAATATGTATGATGTAGTAAAGAAAGAAAAGAAAGATTTCGCATGATCAAGTGATCAATAATTTGAGTTTTGACCAAATTATGCAATAACTAAACATTAGTCCAGACCAACCGTCTAAAAGTCATTCTCTCAAGGATTAAACCAAAATTTTTGTCCCTGGTAACATAGATATTGGATACCCTGTTGCGACCACAAGCATCGCACGAGACAGATTAGTAAAAGCAGTCTGGTTCGATAAGACCCTGCACTTCCCATCTTCACAAAAGGTGATCTCCTAAAGATTCATATCGCATTGGTAGGATCATCTCAAATTACACACGTGCTGGGCAAGGCAAGACAGGGGACTGGATTATCTCAGACAAATCGTTAGTTGAACAATTTCACATGTTCATTTCTGTATCCCACACGTATCACGGAAAGATGACAGAGAAACAAGGTTCTTCAATCAATATGCCTTAGGGTTCAGTAGAAGACCAACTCTCCTAGTCCCGGTATCAACATAAGAGCAAAGTCAGGTTTTTTTTCCCCCGTCCTCCACTAAGGACTGGTAAACGAGGTTGGCATCGAAATAGACGTGCAAGTCTCTTCCAGGGGGACCTGACTTGGATCCTCGGTTGGTGGTTATACTAGTAACCTCACCAAACCACCAACAGGAGCCGTGTGCGCCTGTCCGCAAATGCAGTGTGGTCCTTATTTTAAGGTGCCAGTGCTCGGACGCCCTGCTACTTCTAATCCCCTGCATCTTTATCTTCACCAGGAAAAGAGAATACCTCCTTGTTGTTTTACATCCAAGGATGTCGAGGTCCGCACGAAACCTCACTGGAAGCAGTTTTACCTCTTGCTCAGGAGAGGATGCATCGAAATAGACGTGCAAAGTCTTTTCCATGTTCCGAAATGCATGCATAAAGCGCTGTCGTCTTCATGCTGGCACAACAAAAAGGCACCACAAACACTACGAGAGAGAGAGAGAGAGAGAGAGAGAGAGAGAGAGAGGAAGGGAGAATACGGAGTGAGGAGGTCAGAGCGGAAGGGGAGGCCATCGACGGCAATGGTGTAGACGAGAGTGGCCACCATGAAGCAACCCAACACCAGGAAGACAGCTTTCAGACCCGTCACGGCCGCCGAACCCGCCATTTGCTTAGTCTGTCGTTCTTGCACCGACGAAGCTTCGCTTGCCAGGGACATGAACAGACAGAATCAGAGACCCAACACAGGGAGAGAGAGAGAGAGAGAGAATGTTAATGGCCTCTAATGGTTGTGGAAGTCCAGAACAGAGACCGAAGATGTGGGCAGGCTGAGCCCACGTCGCTCGTTTCCTTTTTGACCCGATTTGCGGCTTTCCGGATCACTCCCAGCTCCCTTGCGTAAGCCACTGCCGCATCGTTGCCGTGACTCGGCATCGTATCTCGTCCGATCAAGTTAGCCAGACGGCGGCCGCAGAGACACCGGAGGATGGACGGTTCGTCGCGGCGGCGGCGGCACCCACGATCGAAATTAAGATTGTTTTATGCGTGTTAAACTTAGTCATGATAAAAAAGCAGAGAGAGCAGCAATATTATCACCGTTCGATTTTTATCAAACCATACTTCAAAAACGAATAATTTAAAAAATATATTCTTTAAAATAATTAATTATATATAATATATTTTGATTATCGATAATAATTCATATCTAAATATTCTCGTAAATAATGAAGATATATTTTTTTCACTTTTTATAATAAGTAATATAAGTGATCACTTTTGAAAAATGCTTTTCAAATTATTCATTTGAAGATACTTTTATAATACGATTAAACCGAATGGTTCAAAGTGTACTTTCTCATCCTAAATCTTAATTATAAGGAAGGGCCGTGTAATCGAGTTCGTTGAGCCGATATAATTATTGCATTTGTGCTTGACATGGAATTATATACTTGGCTTCTGAATAAGATTTGAGTATCACTGTTTTATTTGTCTATTTCAATTGAGGTCCACCTCGAACTAGATGGATTTGTAATCAAGCCAGGAATGAAATGCACATGCCTTTTATCGTAGCAATTAACAATTTTAAAAGCGTAACAAAAGCTCGATGAGATACTCAAGTAACAGAACCCGTAATCAAGATACTCAAGTAATCACCAAACCAACAGGGAAGCTTGAACTATTCACGAATAACTTAACTTGACTCAATTCTAGCAAAAAAAAAAAAAACTTAACTTGACTCAATTCTACTCTTAACAACTAATTAAATTTTTGCCAAAAAGGCAAAATAAAAACGAAAGGACATAAAATTCCTTAAACAAGAAAAGAATTATAAACAGCACTTCATTATGTTTAATTTATCTGTTTCTCCACGCTCCACGAAAAATCTTAAATTGATAAATTTCAAATTAATTTTTTGATCATCAAAACTCGATATATTTGTAATAATTTTTGTTAATTCTGACGTACAAATTTAGAGTTTTTCGATTAATCCTTTTATTTAATTTAATTAAATTTTTGCCAAAAAGGCAAAATAAAAACGAAAGGACATAAAATTCCTTAAACAAGAAAAGAATTATAAACAGCACTTCATTATGTTTAATTTATCCGTTTCTGCGCACTCCACAAAAAATCTTAAATTGATAAATTTCAAATTAATTTTTTAATCATCAAAACTCTATATATTTGTAATAATTTTTGTTAAATTTCTGACGTACAAATGTAGGGTTTTTCGATTAATCCTTTAATTTAATTTAATTTTTCGTATTGCGTGCGTCGGCCATGGATCTTCCTCCAACCACCTCCTCAAACCCATCGGAGGGCCTCACCGGAGTAGGAGGAGCCGCGAGCAGAACGTCGAGCGAGGCGAGGCGAGGCGAAGCGGGAGAGGCGGCGATGATGTCTACTTCGCCCGATGCTGCCGATTCAGTCGACGCCCTTCGCTCCCAAATCGATTCTCTCCAGACGAGACTCCACGTACGCTCCTCTCTCTCTTCTCTCTCTCGCGCCATTGGAAACGCTTCTTCTTCCTTTTTCCTTTCCATCGAGAATTCGATTGCGATTCCCCTGAAGCTATACCTCGATCGAGCAGCGCTTGCTCACATGTAGTATGCGGGAGCCCGCATGAGCTGTGCAACCGCCGAACGCCCGCTGGGTTCGCCACGCTCCGTTCCGTTCCGTTCCGTTCCGTTTTCCTCCCTCCCCCCCGTTGCTTACTCACATGTAGGGCGGCGTTCTTTGCACGCGCTGACTTTGTCGGTTTCGCCATTTCGTTTCAGGAGCTGGAGGTGCGGAATGCGGAGCTTTGCTCTCGACTCTCCAGATGCTGCTGTCAAAAGGTGAGCCATTTGGATTTCACTGTCTTTGCAACTTTTTGGTCGAATCTTAATGTCTTTTAGAGTAGCCCAGAGCTGGTTTTGGCGTTGGGGCAAGCGCGCGTTCGAGTTGGGCACGCGTCATTGCCAGTGATTTGAGTGAATGCGTGCATCTTTTCGGCTGGCGCTGCTCTGTTATTGGCTACGCATGTAGATGATAAGCAAATGTGATGTTCTGCGCCGAATGTGATGTACTTGAGCTTATTACTTCATTTTGTGCAGATGGAAGACAAGATTAGTTCTGTCGTAGATGGAGGCGGTGTGGTCGATGGGAATGGCGAATCAATGAACTCGGGCAAGAAGACTAGGAAGAAAAAAGGTGTTACTGGGAAACTTTCTGAGCACTAATTGCATGTTTAATCTGAACCACCGACATCTTGTACGTTTATTGCTCTTCAAGTTCCGGTTGAGGATTTTTCAGCGACTTATGAGGCCGGTCAGTTTTCAGGAACGGGAGGAATGGTTTAAGCTCGAAAGCCAACAACAATTAAGTGGCCTTCTTGCAAATTTTGAGAGGTTATAGGATACTGTAGTGCTGAAATTTTCTTGGAGTTGCACAACGGTCTGTATTAGTTGTGACTCCAAACTGTCTAAAGAAATAGAAGCAACACTAAGCGCTAAAACTCGACATAATCAAAGCAGCAATGTTGTCGTGCGAATAGTTTCTAATTCTATAGTTTTATAGGGTTCGAGTTAGTTATATCTAACAACCCTGTTTCCATAGACATGTGCATGTTGTTTGGCTGAAGTTCTTTCAATGTGTGGCCATATTAAAGTGAATGTTGTGATACCTCTTGATGCAGATTTCAAAACAGGAATTCTCGAACACCATCCAAGGAGATATGTTGCTTTAAGATTGATGTATTTTGGGCAAAGGTACAGATTGTGGCCATTGCACTGTTTGTCATACAATGCAACTGTTGCATCATAAATACAATCTTAATCTGGTGCCGCATAATATCTTTTCCCCGGTCTTGATTTTGTCTGTTCTTAAATGGCACCATGGAATATAAGATACTCTGGAAATTGTGAAAGTTTAGCTGTTATTAATAATTTGAAGAAATTTCCGCTATGGAAGCATTCATGTTCCAAAAACATGAAATGCTAGGGTGTCACTGCAGAAATCTCTTAAGTTGTAGTATCTGTCGCAAGTGAATGTGTCGTGGATGTGATTCGTGAAATATGCGATTAAATTTCTGTTACAGTACATGGCAAGTCTAACTAATTTCCTAGACAAATGAAATCCTTAATGTGTTGTGCCTTAGGCCGTTGAATATATTGTGGCTTTTCTTTGGCACAATGAAATCGCTTCACTTATGCTTTATTTTACAGGTTTTATGGTTTTGCTTCTGAAGCACAATTGGATCCAACTGTCGAGGTCCAGTCCTAGATTCCATTTTCTCCTCAATATTTCCATTTATTTTCAGCATGGGGCCTAATGGAAAATTTGTGCTATAAAAAAGGTTCTCATTCTTTGTAAGACGTTAATTTATATTTGCAGTAAGGACTCCTATCTTTTGGTACACTAGTAGATCAGTTTGTACCATGCGCACGAAGTCGCTGATTTTCTTCTTTTTATCAAAGATACACAGAAAAGAGTTTTTTAATATTGTGCAATGTGAATGTTTGAATCATGGATGCTATCGATTTGAAATCTGCAAATGTTCTGTTTTGCCATTGTTGACATTCTTGACGGACACATGATCCATTTCGATCCGAATCTCATCATAATGATTTTGGTGTCATGCAGTCTGAAATTTTTAAAGCTCTTGAGAAGACAAGGCTTTTAGTTGGTGACAAGAAAAAGTCACAGTACTCAAGATGTGGCAGAACAGACAAAGGAGTTTCATCTTTTGGGCAAGTAAGTTCAGCAAAAAACTGCTACTCTGCTAATAAGTTCTTGATGGATCAGTAGATTGTTATTTTGTTCACAGATGCTAGATTGGGTTTTTTCTTTTTCCTTCATTTTTCTTTGCAATCACCATTTCCTTGCAAAGAGAATGTGGGTCTTTGTTCAACTTGTATTAAATGTTGAGCAATTTCTTGCAAAAACACGAGTCATCTTATATTTAGTAGAAAGGCACATTCTCATTTGTTGTTTTCAATTTTGGTTTATTTCTTAAACTTGGAAACCTCAGAAACAAGTTGTTTAAGGGCTTCCTTAAAAAGATGGTTGACTGTTGCATGTGTACTACTTAGTACTTATAAGTACTAAAATGCAATTTTGGCATAAGTATGGGGACAAGGAGCAATTATCAGAGTTTTTCCCTATAACAACCTTGTCTTTCCGTCCTCGTGATAGATGTGGTTACTGTGAATATTCATGGTGATGTTCCTTTTATGAGTGCTTTCGTTGATTATGATCTTACTGGATAAGAATCAGTTAGGAGCATATGCGAAGCTCAATTTTCTAATGGAATTTGAGATTGGGTGTTAATTTGGTCATAGAATATTGTAATTGGAGTGCAAGTTCTGAAGTGAACAGGTTTAGAGAAGCAATGATGTGAATTGGAGATGAGAAAGTACCAAAGAGTGAGCGTTCTGATAGCTGGGAGTCTTTTTGCAAGATGATTGAGAGGTTTATAGAGATGCCACCACAAGATACAAGAAGGAAGTATGATGTGGACAAGTGTCTAATATCAATTGTTGTTTTACCTAGGATAATTATGTCTTCAGTTGGCTCCTTTAATGATTCATGTTGTTGTTCTATTATCTCCAGGTTGCTTCTTTTCTTCAGTACATCATAAGTAGGCTCTGGTTTGCTTTCTGATGCAGGTCATTTCCCTGTTTCTACGATCAAACCTGCGACCTAAGAACACAGATGACGCAAACAGTTGGGAACTTTCCATAGAGGGAGATGGTATGTTGTTTTTACTGAGTGACCGATCTTTAATTGTTTTGAGCTCTATTTATTGCTATAAAGTCTTTAAATTGCTTTCAAATGATGAAGTTGGAACTTCGCTGGAAACTTGTGACTCAATTTAGTTGCTACCAGCACCCCCCCCCCCCCCCCCCCCGAAAAAAAAAAACGATCAATTGCTAAAAAATTGGTGTATTTTGGGCAAAGCTGATGTCCAAGTTGCATATTGAAATAAACTGCTGGTACGGCAATAAAGCATCCATAAAATATACATATTCCTATACATATGTATACACATCACACTGCTTTCCTCAACAAAAGTGATTCATTGGAGATTAAGTGGTCAGCATTGCTCAGTTAGTAGGGTTATTCTGCAAGAAGTGCATATATGTTGGGATTATGCAGTCATGACAGTTTCTTACTTTATTTGATTTTCTGCAATGAATTATTTACGATGAAAACTGTATCATGTTTAATATGATGCTTACTTTTTACTTATATGTCAGTCTTAGACGCGGAAATTGATTATGTGAGAGTGTTGAATCGAGTCTTACCCAAAGATATCCGAGTAACTGGCTGGTGTCCTGTTCCAATTGATTTTAGCGCAAGGTTGTTTTCCTTCTCATGGTATACTTTATTTTGATTCGATACGACGGGCATCTACTGATGAAATGAATTAGAGGTGCCTCCAATTCGTTGAATTTATAATGCTAATGATGGCAGAAACATGGGTGGGGTTGGCCTTTTCACACGATTCTTTCTTTCTCAATATCTTGCAGGTTTAGCTGTATGAGCAGGGAGTACAAATATTTCTTTTGGAGAGATAATTTGGATATTAGGGTATCTCTCCATTTTTCTATTTTATGACTATTTCATTTCTTAAACAACTTTTTACTGATTTGAATTAACAAATTTGTTATTATGACTTATTTCATTTCATTTGATAGAAGTCCTTTCTCTGTTATTATGCTAGGCAATGGAGAGTGCAGGCCAAAAGCTTGTTGGGAATCATGATTTCAGAAATTTTTGTAAGATGGATGCATTTAATGTCCACAACTACAAGCGTCATATAACATCCTTTGAACTCTCTTCTTGTGATAAGAGGTTGGTTCTGGTAGATTTTTTTTTTTTTTTGAGATCATTGTAAGGAAAGAAAAATGCATTTTTATTCCTTGTTTGGTATAATGATAGAGAAATCAAGGCGAAAAACGGGCCTTTTCATTTTGGCTAGTTTCTCTCTTGTACAAGTTATTATATTAATAAGACCAATCTAGTTTGCATTGTCTTTTCTGATTTTAATAAATTTCGTTTTGTGCAGGTTGGAAAGTAATGAACTTTGGTGTTTCAAAATTAAGGGCAGTGCATTTTTGTGGCACCAAGTTCGTTGCATGGTCGCTGTCATGTTTATGGTTGGCCAAGGTCTTGAATCTCCTAATGTACGTACTATTAGATACTTTACCATTCTGTCTTGGTCACCATAAGTTGAACGTAGGAACTAGGTGAGAGATATGATAACTCTAAGTTTGTTCGATTACTATGGGTTAAAGCAACGGAATGCGCAGGGCTATCAATATTGGACAAGACATGACAGAGGAAAGGCTTTATATGAGATGACATTGTGCGATCTGCATAACCATGTTGTGACACAAATTAATCCTTCTTTTTTAGTGAGTCAATTGTTTGGCATGCGGAAAATAAAGATGTGATGTTCTGATGCTTTGCTACCACAAGTTGGCATGAGCAAGACACATGCTATTACAAATTGTAGGCTCCAGAAAAAGGAATGCAAAATGCATTCCCTTGTATGTCACTTCTCGTTATCAATTTGCAGTATCAAGCGCAGCCATGAGATTTTGGTTGTTATCATCATATTTCATCACTAATGCCAATTCCCAAAGAGCAGCAATGTCAGCTCCAAGTATATGGGCTCTGGATTTGCGAGTAAAATACCAACTTAAATGGCAAGCTAGCATTTGAATTTACTGATCATGAAGTGTCTGAGATGTAATTAGCTTGAGGTAGCTAAAAAGCGGTGAATCATTTGACATTACTTGAAGTCTTTAAACATGGCACTAATTTGCAATGCATGCACGTGCTTGACCATGGACAAGCTGTAAAAGAGACATGGCTTACTAAATGTGAGAGCTGGAGTTCAGATCCAGCATACAAGACTCAAAATTTTGAGGCCTTCTGGGTGAAGGCACATGAGAAAAAAAAAAGGAGTGTTTTTAGTTTTGACAAATTGATTAGTTATTCCAAAAATTCTCCTATACATCTGAATATAATTGCTTCGCATGTGACGAGAGCATAACCTTCCTGGAAACTCTTCAGGTTGGAATCAGAAATTAGGAGCATTGGTTACATCGACAGAGTTGGCTGCAAAGCCGAATTACTTCATTGGTTGGTTAGGAGACTTAATTTTTTGGTTCTCATGTCTATAGGTAATAGATGCCTTACTGGACACTGATGGGACACCAAGAAAGCCGCAATACACCATGGCTCCAGAAATGCCATTAGTTCTTCAAACTTGTGAATTTGAAGGTGTCAGGTTTATTTGTTCCTCAGGTACTTGCTTCATTTAATAGCATAATCTACTCATCTTATTTAATCGTTCATGCTTTTGATAATGTCCTCTGGGCACAACTCTTAGATTTTCTTTCTTGAAAAAGTAAAGGTGATTTGCTTGCACTTCTATCTATTGTTTGTGTTCATTTTAAGTCATCTTAGTTCATTTTCTTTCTTGCTGGCATCTTCTTTTTTCAAATTCTTATTGATGCTGATTATCTCAAAATAGATGCTCAGCAAGCATTACATCTGCACTTGGAGGAAGCCTATCAAACATATGAACTCCAAGCTGCAATGACTCATGAGGCTCTTCTAAGTTGCTTGCCTCAGGAACATGGTAGGAGGAAGTGATGCTCTGATTTAACCATGTCAATATGATACTTTAATGTCTTTGCTATTGTACAGTAATAAATACATCTTCAGGTTTCTCAGATCAGAGCTTATTAGGTACCCACCGAAAAAAGAAGGCAGCCTCACATATTTCTCTCATGTCACGGCCAACTGAGCGTAAGTCCTCCTATACTGCTGAAGTTCATGTTGTTTTGCTCTTGAAATTGTGCATCATGCTCTGACGCGAAGTACTCTTTAATACTTTGGTATTCTGTTACTTCCGGGAGGGAAAAAAATGCTTCATTGGGACTCTTGAACTAGGACAAACTAACATCATTGTGAACCTGGTCCAGCTTATGTTTATAGTTGCTTGCTTTATGGGACTTGCAATGTAGTTAGATTATCATTGTAAACTTAAGCTCATTTTCCCCCCATCAACTTCATTTGCGAGAAGGGGAGAGATGTGTGTATCGTTTCCTTGTGTCCTTCTCTTTTGGGGGTGGGAAAACTATGTAAGGCATTCTAATGATACTTTACCCTTATTCTGCCACAGCATCCTATGAAGAGCGGCGTGCAAAATTGAACCTGAAAGTCAAAGCTTGCGAGCTTGCTGGCCAATCCATATAGTCTGTCAAATGGGGATGCTTACTTTTGCTATTTGTGTGGTTCGTATAACATTTTCGTGATCTAAATATTGGTTCTGGTGAAACAGCCATTTTTCACTTGATTCTCCATCTATTCCTCCAGGCTGATGTTATGTTGTAAAATGACTGGCGTTTGGTTATTCTCTGTTAGTGTATCAGTAACTCACCATGGTAGAAAGGTGAAGGCTCGCAAAAGACCTGATCTTGGAATACCTTACAAGCAAGAGTACCTGGATATCTATATTTACCCATTTGGTGATCATGCTTTTGAAGTGTCGCACGATAGTGCACTCAGTAAGAGGTTATCTTGGCACATCGCATTTTTCAAATTCAACATACTGTTAATATTCCTGCTGGGCAAGCGAGATTCTTTGCTTTCCAGATTGATTGCCTTTGCTGTGAAGCTGTGATTTTCACTTCAAAAAAAAAAAAACCAAAAAAAAAAAAAAAAAAAAAAAAAAGGAAAAAATAAAATTCAAAAAATATTAAAATATTATTTAATTTGTCATGACATGACCCGACGGGCCCGAAAATTCCGGCAAAATTGACCAGGAAAAACAAAAACAAAAGGTTAGGATCAATTGGCACCAATTTAAAATGTTTAGGACTTAATGCACTAAAAAGGTTTAGGACTAAATTGCATCAATGCAAAGGTTAGACGAATTGGCATCAAAAAAGGTTTAGACTAAATTGTCAAAGGTTAGGACTTTAGCACTTTTCCCCGATAGTGCACTCAGTAAAGGTTATCTTGGCACATCGCATTTTCAAATTCAACATACTGTTAATATTCCTGCTGGGCAAGCGAGATTCTTTGCTTTCCAGATTGATTGCCTTTGCTGTGAAGCTGTGATTTTCACTTAGAAAAAACCTTGCTTTAATATGCATGACAATCCACAAGAATTGTGCCCGATACCTTCGGCCGGAGAGATTTTTTATTATTAATAATTTTTTTCTTAAATTAATAATAAATTTCCAACTAAGATATATATTAATTTCTTCACAACACATTAATTTTTCGATATGGGATTTCTCTTACTTACCTTTGGACACGAAATGACATTGCACTATTTGAAAGACTTGGTCCTGTGAAATTATTGGTAATTGAGACATTTTTTGGCGCTTATCAATGGCTCAGTGGGCATAAAGTTATCTTAACCGTTCTCACTCTCTCACAGGGTTTATGATTTCATCTGGCATTTTTGCTTTTAAGTGGCCCCTTTTATCTCAAATCATGGATGGTAAGGCAGTGAAAGTCCAGGGAGTCACGTGGAGGGCAATCATCTGGATCGACAAAAAGCCATGGGTCTCGTCAGTTCGTAGGGTCCTGTCGGGCTCCCCTTATCAAAAGCAACTCCCGAGCTGGTGCGCGTGCTTTCCCTTCCTGGTCCATGTGAAGTGTGCATTCCACTCCACTCCTGGTATTCTTTTCCATTAGATAAGTTTAGTTACGGGATATGAAGGCCCCAAAGAGTAATTTGGTGAGACTAGCTCTTAGCCTCCTCTTACAACACTAAAATTAAAAGCTTCGAAAGCCCAACACGCCGATTTCGAAAGAGTAAATCACTTCCGGTCGCGCGAGATCAAAGTTATAGACGACCTTTGCTCGTGCACGTCGAGGCGATTCGGTCCGGGTCCTTATCCCCAAGCTTTTAACTTTTCTGGTTTCGTAAGTCTTGTCCCCGCTCCTCATCCATATTAGGGGATGATAACGATGGCTGAATTCAATAGGAGTTTTACACTGAATCCGTAATAGGTTGTGATCAAGAGTGGTGTGACTTGCGGGTCGGGAGAGGGAAGAGTTTAGTGGTATTCTCGGTTTGAATGGAGTGAGTAGGAAGGAGAAGAATGAATTTAAATAATTACGAGAAAAAAGAATAGAAAGAAATCTAAAGGAAGGAATTATAATATCATTTGAATGTTACCACGAAAGAAGAACAAAAAAATAAAATATTACGACGTAAGTATCGTTTTAAGCATTTATAGATAGATACAGGGAGAAGTATCAAAAAAGTCGTAACCTTTTACACTTGTACTAATTCAGTCATAAACCATTTAATTGTACCAATCAAGTACTAAACATATTGATTATTTGTCAAGATAGTCCATCCGGTCAACTTTAGCCAGAAATCCTTGACATTGACGTCAGCCGTTCTAAGTGACGTGACCGACGCCAAATTGGACAAACTTTACGATTTCTTAATTTTTTTCTGAAATTTAATTCTTTTCCTTTTATTTTCTTTTTTAGCGTGCGTTTGACAACCATTCTGTGCCCGGGAACTAATTCTGCTCAGAAATGATTCTTTTTGATTCTGTGCCTTGGAACAATTTCTAAGCATTTGAAGGTATTTGGTAACTATCCAAAATTTCTATTCTTGGAATAAAAAAAGAATAAAAATGTGTTTGGTAACTGCTCAAAATTTCTTTTTATTAATAATATTTTCAATTTTTTAATATTTCTTTTTTATTTTTCCTTTTTTTTCTTCTTTTTTCTTCTTCTTCTTCCCCTTCTTGGCCCATGGCTAGGTCGCTGACGTCGGCACCGGCGACCTGCCATAGGCCAGGGCCGGTGAGGGCTGGACCCTCACCGCCGCGACCCATCTCCCTCGCCTGGATCGCGATAGCAAGGTCCGCCTCGCCATGGTTGGGCAAGGCCTCGCCGTTGCGGCCGCGAGCCGCCCTCGCCCAGGCGGCAAGGGTCCAGCCCTCACCCTCGTCAGCCCTGGCTTGTAGCCGGCCGCCGGCCATGAAGAAGAAGCCGAACAAACCAAGAAGGAAGAAGAAAATCAAGAATAATCAGAAATGGAAAAATTGTTCCCAGAATCAAGAAACTACTTTTTTTTGCTTCTTGATTGTGTTCCAAAACTGATTTTGGGAACAAATTTTTAAAATTTGTGCCCGGGAACAAAAAATTTATCAAACGAATTTCTGTTCCAAAACTGATTCTGGAAACAAAAGAACATAAATTATCACTGTTTTGCAACTTGCCAAACGGGCTCTTATTGTGACCGGCGAGGGTCGTAGCCTCCCTCGCCCAGGCCATCGCCGGGCAATTCCGGAAGTGTTGGCCTTTTTGGACTACCCAAAATAATTCCATTTTGGGAACTCGATTTGATCTCCCACCCCCAATAATTCAAAAGTTCATGTCCCTCCCCCACCCCCAACCCAAAAAAAAAAAATGAAGAAGAAGAAAAAATGAAACTGAAAATGCGCAACAAATTTCAAACATCTTTCGACAATCCGTGTCCGAAGAGAGAGAGAGAGAGAGAGAGAGAAGGGAAGGAGGTGCGACTTCTGGTTCGATCCGAGCTTCCCTCGCGGGAACACGTCTCTCTCCCTCTCTCTCTCTCACTCTCTGCCGCGCCGCGCACGTTCCGTTGCTCCTCCGTGTCCTTCGTCGTCGAAGGAGAAGACGAAGCCGGAGGAGGAGGAGGAGGAGGAGGAGGAGGGAAATGGAGGCGGCGTTGGGATTGATGAGGAGGATGCCGCCGAAGCACACGGAGACGGCCCTCTCGGCTCTCCTCAGCCTCTTGCCCCACCACTCCTCCGATCTCCTCTCCCAAGTCGACCAGCCCCTCCAGGTTTTTGAGACGTCTTTCTTTTCTTTTCTGTTCCGATTTGGGAATTCCTTTGGGCTCGTGATTTCTCAAATCGACAATGCGCTTCGGATTTCAATGAGCTCCGCTGGTTTTGGGGCGGCGGCCGGCCCGCGTGCGTGCCGATGTTTCCGATTCCCGTCGCGCTTAGGGCTTTCGCGGTTTCTTTCTGGCGGTTCCCCTCTGGGATTTTGGGAAGTCCGAAGCTTGTCGTGTTTTTCCTCGACGCCGTGATTGTCCTGGAAATGGAAAGCCCCATGGGAGCGACAATGCTCGAATTGGCGATGGCCGAGAACGTGAGAGGAATAGACTATTTGGGGGTTTTGGATAGGATTGGGGGTCCTTAGTGAAACGCTGATGTTGATGTCGGATAGAACGGGACGAGTTCGATACCGGACGGAAACGAGATGATGAGTTCGGAACAGGATGAGGTCATTGTTGAGGCGTTACTGGATAGGTTTGCGGTAAATGGCACGATGCTGTCGATTGATCCTGTCCTTTTCTTCTTGTTTTTTCCATCTACATTTAATGTTAGAACTGGGTTCGCATTGGCTCGTTCCTCAAGTTGATCTAAATTTCGCGGCTTGGGGAGTCCGAATTTCCCGGGTCGAATGTAATCCCTGTATTGTAGAACTTGCGGCTGGAAAGAGTCAGGATTTATACTAGCGTACAGTGGTCGCGTTATCTACTTTTTTAAAATTGCAATATATATCACTACGGAACTCACTCATGGAGCAAATGGCAGGTTTTGTGCGATGTAGACTCTGGAAAGGAGTTTATTTTGTGTGAATACAACAGAGATGCCGACTCTTACAGGTGCGACTGTTGACTGTCTACTCTTGAAGTAGCGCGGAACCTTAGCGTAATCTGATAGCTGCTTATAGCGTGCTGGTATTATTATATGGGCTATCTGCGTTGTATTAGAAGTTTGTCAAGGTTTTATGCTCCTTTTTGAATGCTACAGTTTTTACTTTCGGCTTTGGGAAAAGAAACGTGCATTACTTGCTTGTAGGTGAGATATAGCGTAGCGACTGCATGACAATGACACTGTCGATTACTTTTTTCCTTTTTTCTCTAAGTTACCTTCTTTTATGCATGACAAAGCAGAATAATCATATTAGGGGCACGTGACACGCTAGGAATCAGTGATAACTTGCTGGAGTAAACAAATTGTTGGAACTTCATTGTGAATCTTCAGTTTAGGATCTATCATCACTATCTATTTTGCTGTTGGTTATTGGTTGCCAGGTCTATAATGAATCAGGTCTTTTCTTACTGTGCTACCTGCTATGTCCATGCAGGTCACCCTGGTCTAGTAAATACCATCCACCATTGGAAGATGGCACGCAGCCGTCTTCAGAATTAAGGAAACTGGAGATCGAGGCGAATGACATCTTTGCAATATATCGTGACCAGTGAGGTCCTTTGCTTACCTCGTTCTCTATTCCGGTTATGAGAAAGGAATGGTATAATTGCCAATGAAAATATTAAGGAACAATCTAAGCATCTCAGATGCCCTCATCGGAGCTTGTGGATGTTTGTATTTTATAAACAAATGCCATTTACATTCATAGATATGGCAATTTGATTAAGCAGTGGATGCATAGGTACTATGAAGGTGGCATTTCGTCGGTCTACATGTGGGAAGACGATAATGAAGGTTTTGTTGGCTGCTTTTTGATAAAGAAAGGTGAGGTTCTATTGTGCTAGATGACCCATTTTATAGTGTACAGATCACTAATTTCTTCACATTCTATTTTCTCATCAAGACGGATCGAAGACGGCTCATGGAAGAAGGGGTTACCTGGAGGAAGGTGCGTGGGATGCTATACATGTAATTGAGGTACAATCAGTTTAACAGTTAGTTGTTCCTAGCCTCACCTTTTCCCTGTTTCCCGCATCTCCTCTCTCTTTTTTTTTTTTATTTGCTGTTGCATTCTAGGGTTCTGTCATACTACATCTTCGGTTTTGTATATAGGTGGGTCCTGAAGAAGATGGGACAGCTCATTATTGTTTAACCAGCACTGTTATGCTCTCTCTCACTACAGATGATGAATCATCCGGCACATTCAGTTTGTCTGGGTCTATTAGAAGACAGGTAATTCGATTACATTGAACGTGGAGGTTTTTAATTACCTGTTGAGACAACTTTTAGCAGAGCCCCTATAATAGCTCAGTCGAAGAGGAAATTTCTTCCTCGATATATGAGGAGATTCAAATATAGCGTTAATAATACTAACCAAAGATGATGTTTGCCTGAAACATGCGAGAGTTACTGGGATGGAAAAGCATATGAGTGTCTAAATTTTTAGCAGAAAGCTTGACCCAGATAGGCCTTCCTATATTTAAATATCAATGTTGCCTGGATTTGGCACTTTAGGCCTAAGTACCCGTTTCGACACAACATAGATGTGTGCACGAAATTGAATGGGCTCTCTACTTTTATTCTTTAGTAAAGTATTTCTAACGTAGATATACTTTCAGCCAGCTTGACAAAGTTTGCAGTTAGGAAAACTATGCACATTGGGCCTTATTCTCCTCTCTCTCTCTCTCTCTCTCTCTCTCTCTCTCTCTCTCCCGTGCATGCGTGTCTCTGGTAGTTCTGCCCCATTGCATGATGGCTGCATAATGTCTAAGAAATGATCTATGTAATTGTAAGCAGGCTGTCTCAGTAGTATTCTTTATGAGTTGCTTCTCACTGGTATGCTATTATTTTTTAAACCACAGGATAATCTTTTTAGGTTCACTGGGAGGGAAGGTTCTCTTAGTTTTTGGGATATCTAGCGATCAAGTTCAGTTTTAGCATCATTATGTTACTTAAAGCTTTGTTAGTTATTGAATTAATGAGGATTTAGTTTTAGCATCATTATGTTATTCAAAGCTTTGTTAGTCATGGAATTAATGAGGATCTCATTTTGAAGCAATTATCTTGGGTGCAAGATATTTTAGTTTACATCATCTGCATGTTCACTTCAGTTTGCTTCATATGGAACTTTTCATGTTTTCTTGCCATGTAGATGAATATGGACCTCTCAATTGCTGAGGGCCATCTTTGTAACATGGGAAGGATGATAGAGGAAATGGAGAGTAAGCTGAGGAATTCCCTTGATCAGGTTTGGTGAATACCATTGTTGCAATCTTCTCGATCTTTTTTTTGTTAATTTTATTTTGCCTTAGTGAGTTGCATATATTCTCTAGCCATTTCTTACCGGCATACCTAGAATCTCATGCTATTTGTTGGTCTGTCACTTGTAAATACAGGTCTATTTTGGAAAGACAAAAGAGATGGTCTGCACCTTGCGACCACCAGCTGAAATAACGCAGATGAGAATGCCTGAGAGCTGATATTACGCCGTGTTGTCATGAATTACATGTTGCCATTCTCCCAAGATTTGATATTCCGTCTAAGTATCTGACTTTCAAACTCCAGCCCTGCTTGCAGCATGTTGCCAAGAGGGGGATGGTGGTAGATCTGATTCTCTTACTTTCTTAGGACTCAGAAACTTTAAAGGGGACATTTTTCAGCTATTAATATGCCAATGCTAAAACATGATTTGTACATGTGAAAGGATATGTCTATTGCGTTGCCTTTAGTTTAGATGAAACATTCGAAAGGTAGATACTCCTAAAACAATTTCCAGGCTGACGAGTTGCTTGGCAGGTGCACTATCTATGGTTGGATTTGTTGGAAAGTTGTATTTCTGTTTTCAGGTTATATTCGGACTTGGCTGGAAACTCTGCTTACGATTAAACTGTGCAAAGTGAATGTTAAGCAACCAAAGCAAATAGACCTATGGTAAATCTGCCAATTATAGTATTATACACTGTTAACAATCCATGATTAAACACGTTTGCAGAGTTAGGAACAGCGATCCCCGGGTAGCGGGCGCTGAGTAGTGAATAGAAACTGAGGATGACATCAGGGAAAGGATTTATGTGATGAAAGATATTTAACAAGTCTTGTAAGAATCTTTATGTTGAAAATTCGGATTAGCTTTGGTAAAAATTTCTAATCGGATAAAGCACCTGAAGCTTCCAGCAAGATATTTTTTTCTTAATCGGTAGCTTATAGCAAGTTAATTGGTTTGCTCTTTATTGCATCGGATAACATTTTGATTTCTCGGAGAGTATTAAAGGGAGGGGAAATACCTCATACAAAGAGTTTTGCGCTTGCAAGAACAAGTAAGCGATAAAAGAGTCTTCCAAATCAAGATTAGCACCTCGTATAATTTCGTGTTTAATCTATTACAGAAGTAGAGAGAAAGCCATTCATGTCCACAGAAAAGGAAAACTGTTCTGTTGTCTAATTGACATGGGAGTAACAAAAGTTTAGTGCAGGTAGACATCAAAGCCTTAAAAGACAAAAAAAACCAGCAACGCCACACAAAATATGCCATTGTCTAAGCAGTATGCAACCTCCTAACAATACAATGCAACAAATAAATTGTCATCCTGTTCTTTACATCGGCTTCAATGTACCTGAAAAATCTAGCACATGCGTAAAAGAAATGGATTGAACATTGAACAACAGGATAGCTACCAAAGATGGGCCACTCAACTAAGAAAATAAATACACTCAATCATCTAAAAACAAATTCACAACCTCGAAGAATTTCCCGCTAAACCCAGAGCCTTATGAGAACATCTCTGCCCAACATCCCGAGAATGAAAGCCCTCATCATGAAAATGCTTGAAATGCTGAAAAAAAAAAAATCGTCCTAGTGTCATTTGTCTTTCACCAGTTGTGCCTCAAAACCTCCTTCTGGTCGCTTTACAAGGTTGTAGGGCATGTGAGTCCCTAAGAGCTTATCCCAAATGGAGAAGAATGGCTGAGAATAGTTGTACTTAGTGCCTTGAAGCTGATGATGGACGTCGTGATAAGCAGTGTTGTTCTTGAAGAAAATATGAAATATGTTGCCAGGCAGCCACAGCCCACAGTGATCATCGACCGTTTTAATCACAGCAAAGCAAAAGAAATACACAGCAGTTCTTGCGGTCATCCCGGACACAAGGAAAGAGATTGCCCCGCCAAAAGTGTCAAGTAGGAGACCCTCGAGTGGATGATTATACAGAGCACCAATTGCGTAAGGGACAACCAGCCTATGATGCTGCGAGTGGACATGGCGGTACAAGAACTTGTTCTGATGCATATAGCGGTGCACAAAGTACTGCCACGTGTCCATGACCAGCATTGCAACTAAAAACTGCAGTATTTGGATAGGTATGGAGGGCTGAACTGTCACTCCTGATGGATTAGCTTTTGATGTCAACTGCAATCAAATGGAAACAGAATGATATTTTACGCCAAATATCAACCTCCCTGGTAACGACGATAAACATAGGCATGTATAGGTATGCAAAACAATGTCACAGAACTTGCCATTGTTACAACTGCTCAACCATGCAGTCAAACATGGATTTCCCGTTTATAATAGAAATGCTGCAAACAAGTACCAGGAATTTCGACAACATTCAGTCATACAACACAACTGCAAAGGAAAGAACTCAACTGAAATGAGGTTGATGAAAACTAGGACTTGAGTCCATCATCAGAAACACTCGATCAATGTGATATCAACCTTACGTTATTCACAAAAGGGCAACAGGGCAAGCACATGGATCTTTTGTGCAACTCCACTTAATTTCCAGCTCAGACTTATATCTAATTCTACAATTTGACAATCAGTATCAATAATTTCAGACATTATGACGTTAGTTTACATCTTCATTTCCATTAAAGGTGATCATTTCTAATGAGTGCTGGTGTATTTGCACCGTCCAGAATGGACGAGAAGGAAAGTATTAGTGCATCTGTTTCCTCTAGTCAATTCTTTAACACTTATAACTTCTAACTTAAACCATATCGTTCTTCTATGTCCTATTAACTCCATGAGATTGGTATCCTAGCGCTCTGCCAGGTGATTATTGTCAATTTTGAGCAACTACACATGATCGAACTCTTCCTCCTCCTTCCAGGAGGGCTAGTCCGACATCTTGCAGTACAGCATGTTGAAATAAACAACATAATTCTATGGTGAAAATAAGCAAATGGAAGCCAGTTTTAACTTTCATCTACATCAATCGAAAGAATCCAAAAGGCCGAGAAATCCCCCCCGCGCCCGTCCTCCCAATTAAAGAAAAACAAAAAGAAAAGAAAGGGAAAAAAGAATATTTTACAGATTAAATCTCCCCTATTGAAGGAAGCTAAAGTTTGCTAATTAGCACACATGTACACAAGTTTCTTAACCGCCCAAGAAATAATCTAAACATGTCCTCCTTCTCCAGCTCTCACGTATTCTCGACAAGGAACTTAAAGCACTAGATTCTCCTATCTGATATAAATTGATTACTGCAGCAGTCAGGTTCTCTAAAACCCAAATGCAAGCTAATAAACCATTACACAAAGACCAGAAAAATAAAAAAAACTTGTGAAATTAATTCCAAGACTTAGACAACGGCTGAAAAATGATTTTAAAATCAAAATACTAACCATAAAGAGCCCCTGAGCAACAGTTGCTTGCGCAAGTTGTTGAAGCAATACACCTTTCACAACCATTGTAAGCGGTACCGAATTCTTCTCTTCCTCCTCTTTTCTAGTATGTAACCGGTAATTGTCCAGGGGAGGCAATAGTTGATAGAATCCTGCATACACCCAATAGACCACAATTGGGGCAAATGTACCCATTGCTTCATCACTTACATACCCTTCCCAAAGTACCATCTTTTCAACAGAACCAGTCAACTCAGATAACTTCAGATCTCTTCGGAAATGCTAACACCAACACAGCTTATTGCATTCGGCAACCTAGAACTGGACAAGAAATCCGATGCCCTGCAATATATTCCGTGTTCTGTCAAATCCCCCCGCATAAAGGAACCAAGAACTGTCCCTCAATATACTTTGAAAAAACAGAAACATATCAATTGAGCAAGAGAAAAGAGGTGCCGGGCACTGTACAGGCAACGAGTCACCGACTGATAAAACTCGTGGAACTCGACGGTGACGAATTCCACAGGACAGTTCAGTTCGAGCATAGTATCAAGGATCTACATTCCACCCATTTCAGTCCCTCGACATCAACTTGGGACCACACATCTAACAAGAAAGGCAGCTACGTTTTCCCCCCCTCTTACAGCTGTTTCACTTATTCCCTTTACTAACGGACATGTTCACTTCCCCGCGACCCAACCTGACAATGTCCCGAGCTCCCACCGAAGCCAACACATTCAACACCAGAAGATAATTCCAACCTCCAGATCTAGTAAACATACCCAGGCAATCTCACTACTTCCTCATTATCTTTCCAATTCTCTGGCATCACAGATAGAAAGAGAGAGAGAGGGAGAGAGAGGTTTACCAGTTTACCCATCTTAGCACTGCACGTGGCTTCCTTCGACAGCAGGCCGACACACGATCACGAACCCACCATTGGGTCGTGAAATGTGGCGCATGAGGATGAGCGGAATGTAGCTTTCGAGATGGATCTGGGCTTCACTCCGTTCTGGGTTTCGACCGCGAGACGACGAAGAAGGGTCTGAGAAACAGAGCGAAAGATTTGATCTTGATGCGTTTCTCAGTTCAAAAACCGTGTAAGCAGAGAGAGAGAGAGAGAGAGAGAGCGCACGCCGTATTGGAGTCCATGGAATTCCGGTGGGCCATTATTTCGCATGGTCAATGAGAAGCAAGGATCTAATTTCAACCAGCATTTCTCGAAGCTCTTTAAATATTCAATTTAAGAAATTTTGGTGTTTTTCAATGCATTGTCTTACTAATAATACATGTAGTCGGTGCATAGAAAATATTCATATGCATATCTATAACATGATAACCATTACAGAAATTCATTTGACAACGTAATTTTATTTTTTTATTTATTTCTATAATAAATTTTTATATTAGAAATAGATTTGAAATAGAAATGAGAAATATTTATATTTTTTAATTTTTAATTTTTAATTTTTAGAACAGAAATAATGATAAAAACACTTTTGATCGCTCGTCACCCCCTACTATCGTGCCCGCCGTCCGCCGCCATCGGGAACAGAAATAGAATAACCTATCAAACAAATTTCGATGTTGCCGCCCGCTGGCTGTCAGTCGTCGCAATTGGAAATAGAAATTTAAAAATAACTTATCAAATGAATTTTATGTCGCTATTAATTATTATTTTTTACTCAGAAATTTGCCTAGGAAATATAAATAAAATAATCTATTTCTAACAAAAAATTGGGTCGGGAAAGAGAACGATTTTCATTTACGCCCTTGGAAGAGAATGTATACAAACTAGCATTTAATTCTGAAAACACGTCCTAAATCTCCTTTCATAAATCTCTTTGGGCCTGGCCAGGCTGGCCGCGGGGTGGTGTCGTGTGACCGAGCGAGCTAAGAGAGGAGGAGACGAGACCGCCGCGACCCAGCGCTTCTTCTCCTCCGCCGTCGCCGACTCCGATTCCTCGGCGACCAAAGCACGTCTCCGGAGCGCGCGCGCGCACACCCTTGTCGAATCCGCCGAAAGTCTCGCGACTCCGTGCTTGCCATCGGCGAATCGCATTAGGAGCGAAGGACTGACGAAGATACAGGCGAGCGAGGGCGGCGGAGGAGGAGGGAGGGAGGGAGGGAGGAGAAGGAGGAAGAAGAAGAAGATGGAGCCGAGCTTCACCTTCTCCCGCTCCCCTTGTTGTTGTTGATTCATGGCCTCTTCCCAACATCGTTGC